TGATGAAGACAAAAAGAGTCATATTGGATTTATAGCAGATGATATAAAAGACGCTAAAATGCCTTCTGAATGGGACAATATTATATATTATAATGATGATGGAATGAAATTATTAGCATATAATAAAACAGCAGTTGTATTATGGGGTTGTGTTCAATTTCTTATTAATGAGAAAGATGAATTAGTAGAAATGGTTAAATCAATGAAGAAAGAAATAACAACAATGAAAGGAGAAATTACAAAATTGAAGAAGAAAATTAAAGATGATGATTAGTAATATTATTTATTAATAATATTATCAATCAACTGGTTCTAACGATTGGAGATATTCTTGGTGTTTCTTGCTTCTTTCATGAACTAATTTATGATGATGCGTGTATTTGCCACCGCATAGACATTGAAATTTAGCCCAGCGATGGTTTTTGATGTGTTCTTTGTTGTCTTCCTTGTATTCAGCCCGTTTCCTACCAGCAACTTTTTTATTAATACAATCATTGTATTTTATATGTTGCCCTTCTATTTTCATAAGTTCTTCTTTTGAATTACAAGGCGCGTTTTCTATCAGTTCTATCTTACAATTATCAATACCATATTCATCAAACATCTCAAAAGAACTCATAAAAACGCGCTTCCATCCGTTATTATAATTGCCATAAGAATAGCGATGTCTTGCCATTCTCTGACTTAAGCTTTCACATGTAGAGCCGATATACTGCTTATTATATCCAACATCAACAATTTTATAAATCTTCCCATTATGATATTTATTCATATCCCTAAATATCTTAATATATCTTTTCTTTATATGCCAATTAATAATTTCTAAATAAATATATAATGGTTAATATTGATGAACAAATAGAAAAGAAACTCCATGAACAATTAGAAAAGATAAAGGGAGACTTAATTATATTTAACACTATCCAAGATTTAACAGACAAAATACAAAAGTTAGAAGATGAAATAGAACAGTTGAAAAACAAAAACAAAGGATATTGCGGTACTTCTTCTAAATGCTTACCGTTTAACTGTTGTAGTTTCTCATTATTCTGATGACTAATAATATTATTTTGATATTATTAATCATCTTCATCGGTCCTTAAGACCTTCTCAAATCTGATGTAGAACATGTTATTTGCATCTTTTGCATTCGTGTTTATGTACAAGAAGCTATATGGAGCATCGTTTATCGCCAGTTGGTACATTTCATATAACTGTTGCTTGTTTACCAGTGCACTATTTTCTTCAAGGAACGCGTTGACTTCGTTCATGTTTTTGAGTCTGAACACAAATAGTGCCGATGCATTGAGCCTAATTATTGGAGCTAGCACGTTGTACTTCTGAGTGGACAGTATCACTGAAATTGCGTTATGTCTACCTCTTGTGAACAATCCGTGCAAGATACTTGAGTACCTTACAAATTTTGGGTCGTCCGCGAAATCATCAATGACTATTAATATACTGAATAAATCTTTGTCTTTGTTCTTCTTCTGGAATTCTATTACCTTGTGTTGGGTGTCTATTATTTTCTGTAAGGCAGTTGCGTCGTAATGATTGAAATATATCTGTTCCTTTTCCGAGTCCACTTTCATTACATCCTTTATGTACTTCTTCACTGCGTTCCATGTGTCGTCCACATCCACACTAGGACTGAATATATAGATTCTCTCAAAGCTATTGCGGTAAATCTTCAATATTAAGTTCTGTATCAAAACTGTTTTACCGCCTGTACTTGAAGCCACAGCCAACATTCTCGCTGGTAAGGACGGCATCATCTCATACTTGCTATTTTTGAACTGATACTTGGGTATATCAATTGGTTCTACTGTTGGAACATTCTCGTTCATTATTAATATTAGTTAGAAAAATTATATGTTATAATATATGAATTACGGTGATTGCATTGATGTCATTGACAACCTTGAAGAAATAGAACAGATAATAATAACAACGCCTAGATATCGTAGGTGTTGCTACTCGGTGTTGGAAATATGTAAAGGGATTTTGCAATATTTAAAATTAAAGAAAAAATAAATTTCTACAACTTAAAAATATGAGCGATTTGAAGAAAGATAATGATAATGATGAAAAAGAGGGAGGTTTTCAAGTTAGTAAAGATGGCATGTCTTGTTTTGCTTGTAGGTGTAAAAAGAAAAATTTGATTAAAGATAGGAAAAAAATTATTGATGAAAAAGAAGGAAAAATAGTTTTAGAAGAAGTTGTAGAAACATCAGTAATAGCATTTGGTAGAGATGTAACGCCAGAAGTTCAGCCACGAACATTAACGATAGAGGAAAGAATAGAAGAACTAGAAAGAAAGATAGATGAAATGAAAATTAAAAAAATTGAAGATATTGATACAGGATTTAGGAGAGGAATATCAGTAGATGAACGCCTTATAAAATTAGAGAAAGAAGTTTATGAATTGAAACAAGTATATAAGTTGCATTTAATGGATTAAATAATTTAAAAAATGTTTTTCTAACATATATTGACAGTTGTATAGTCTTTTGAATTCCCCTCTTGGAACTGAAACAGGATGAACACCCCGAATGTGCGCCCATTGCTCTCTGCAATTGCTTAAGTCCCAGACATCGTAAGTGAGCAAGAGAAAGGGGAGTATCTTGGAACGCTTACATAATTCGGATATACATAAGAGATATCCCTAATTAGTTTGGAATTTAGAATTTTCATAATTCAGTTTATGAAAATTTTAATATAAAAGTTTTATTATAAAAGTTTTTATTTAAAAACTTAATGTATATATAAGTATATGGGTGATAAACCTGACTTCAAGCAAGATGTCATCTTGAGACTGGAGAGGATTGAGAAATTATTAAATGAAAGACCTACGAGAAACTTTAACAGAACGCCAGTTGATGCAACATATGAGAATAAAAAGAATACATATTTGACTAAACTGAATAACAAGGAAATTTTACAACCAAAACAAACAACCCTTGATTATTACAATATAAAGTATAACGAAGAGACGAAAACCTATTCATAATATTATCATCTAATAATAATGAGTGAATTAGATGATAATATTTCTGTTGAGTTTCCGACAGGCAGTGATTGTAAGACAAGATACATTCAATGTAAAGCATGTAAGCAAGTAAAATATGTAGATGAGTTTGTAAGTAAACATTTCAAAAGAGTATACAATAAAACTTGTAGGGCTTGTCTGGATGTTAGTAGAAAATCTAAGCTTAAAGGGAAGGAATGATCACGGGGAGTTTTCTTATGGAAAGGCTTCTGAAGAAAAAGCACTTAAAGAAATAACAACATAATATATTATAGTGGAAATGGATTATACAAATCTGAAAACTTATAAGACCCAATTGAAGTACATCAAAAAGATATACCAAATAAAAATTAATGAAACCGAATATCTGAATAAAATTAATGAGTTAATAAAGTTATTGAAAAAATACGAAGGTATGTTTGACGACGAAGATGTTTGTAATGTTAAGCATGATATTTCTTTTTAGAAGGTAAAATTCAAGAAGAGAAACAATTAATTAAAAAATATTCAGAATTGATTGAGCATGTTGAAATACTATGTCAGAATGGAGGAAGCCCAGACACTAAATATTTAGATACAAAACCAAAACATGCTGTTAAATGGATTAATATAAGTATTCAAAAAATGGAAGAAGATTACGGCGAATACTTAAAACAATAAAATGTTAAACCAATGATAATTTAATAATAAAATTAAATTATTATTGAAACCCCTACTGCCCCATACTATGCCCCATAAACCGAAACAACCTAACCTTGCCCATTTCGGGGAGTTACATCACCTGATAAATAGGATGAGATAGAGTATTTTAAGGATAATGAGCTACTAGTTGTGATTATATGGCCACGGTGATGTAATACCCCAAAACGGGCGACCCCATTACCTTGTCCATTTTGGATAATTGCACCTTATTTTCTATATGATAAAGTGTTTTAGGATGTTATGGCTATGATCTGGGCCACGGTGGTGCAATTACCCAAAATGGGCAAGGCCTTCCCTGACTCTAAGCGGCCCGCGGCAGCCAGCGATCCGTCACCGCAAAGTCTGAACATCTCGGCCCGGCGGCCCGGCCCCCCCCGGCGGGCGGCTTACAGGGTAGAGTCTGGGTCGCTTGTGACTTCTCAGTCTCTGCCCTCCTTCCACTACTTACAAAATGCTGCAGTGTCTTGGTTACCTCGGCGACCCTAAACCCTCGCTCTCCTCTCCCTTCTCTTCCCTCTTCCGCCTCCTCCCCTCCATCCTCCTTCATGGTGCACAAGTAATGCCCTTGAGGTTGATCGTTTTGATGCTAAAACTGGCGTCTTTTTCGGATCCCTCGGGGCGCGGTTTTGCCCGGAACTGCGAACCCAAAACCCAAACCACAAACCCCAAACCCTGACCAAGCCCGAAGCTTAATGACTGAACCCTAACCCCAAACTCGAAGCCGTGAACGCTAAACCTTGTCCCGAAAGCGCGAACTCTAAACCCACTAAGGCTAAACCCTTAAACCCTAGGACCCTAGGACGAACCTACGATGCAGGGTGCGACCCTAAACCCAGTGGATTCTGCTAACCTTAACTGCGAGCCGGAAAAGGCGTTCAAAAGAATACCCGAAACAAAAAGACCCTGAACCTTACACCCCAAACCCCAAGCCCCAAACCCTAGACTAAACCCCAAACCCTAAACTAAACCCTGAACCTTCAACCCTAAAAAAGAAAGAACCTAATCCCTAAACCCGAAGCCCTAAACCCTTTAACTTCTGGACCCTAGACCCTACAGCCTAAACTAAACCCTAAACCCTGACCAACCCTGAACCTTATAAACCCTAAACCCTTGAGGCTAAATTTAAGACACTAAGCTAACAACGCAAGCCCATTGGCCCGCCTCCACCGAGTGTGGACCTTTTCCACGCGTCGAACCAAAAGCCTTCGAGTGGCACAGAGGTCGTTCGGGCTTACTGAGAGGTTTGACCAGTTGAAGCATGACAGCGGAATCAAACAGCACTGCGAGAACTGCAATCGCGTATCCAGGATGACATACGATCTTGGTGCTTCACACTGGTCTTCTTCTCTCCAAAATCAGTACTGGTACAAGTTACCTCTCCAATGTCGATTGGCACGACGAGAGGCGTACTGATCATGTCCCACCAATCCTTTGGATCGCTGGGCTTAGTCAAAATGTCTCCATATTGGAGACCGCTCGGGACCCATCCGGGCGGAAGCTTCGTGCTCCACTGCTCTGCTCTCAGGTTCTGTCGAAGGGCGGCTAGATCTATGGCTAGCCTGCGGTCCGTGGGCACTCTCGGTACCCCTTCCTTGTGGACGTGGTCGTAGAGGGAGCGGCAATCGCTCAAGCACAGCAAAGGAGTGCGGGCTCGGTCTATGGTGACCAGCTCGCCGGTCTTGACTGTCTCGTAGAAGGACCGTAGGTATTGTCCTCCTTCCACGCATGCTTGTGTCTCGGCTCCGAAGGTGCTCCTGCAAACTCTCTGTCCGGCCTTGGAACGCCAGTCGCCGATCGTGGCATTGCTTGGCACTCCAGTAAGACTCCGCATGTCAGCAAACATGGTGAGCCCGCCGAGTTGTGAAGCTACTTTGGAGTTGACCCTCTTGGCCTTGCGAACCTTCTCTGCGAACGGTCCCTCTTTCTGAAGTCCAGCTTCTCGGTCTTCCGGGGTGAGCTCGAAGTAGGGCTCGTCGTGCTCGGCCTCGAGCGCGTTCGCCCATGCTGCATCATGGTAGACGAGGATCCCGAAGTGCTCCTCGTCGATGGGCTTGAAGGTTAGCCCACGGTCCTTGTACATGGTCGCCCGCTGGGAGACCTGATTCGTGAATCTGGCGTCCCCAACCGTAGGACTCTTCTGTAGCTGCTGTGCAAGACTGACACTGCACGTCGAATCTGGCCGGGTTTGGGCCGAGAGCCAGCTCAAAGCCCCAATGAGGCTTTGGTTGTCTGTCTTCAACTCGAAGCTTGCCGGCTCTTCGTCAGATAGATGACGAGGGATCTCGAGGAGAAAGAGCCGGCTCTCGACGTACTTGGTCTGGGTGACCGTCACCTCGTTCTCCTTGCAAGAGATCTCGGACCCCACGTAGCTGAAGTCTCCAATTTCCCACCGGTCGATCGCGAAGGCGGAGGAGAGGCTCTTGCGGATCATCTCGCTGACCGCGCCGCTGGCCACGACCAGAATGTCATCAACATGGGTCCCCAAGTAGCCTATGGGCTCGCCGATGAAACGGTGGTCCTTCATCTCTCGCAGCATAAATATGCAGGGGTCCAGGGGGCACTGATCAAAGGCATAGTCCTTGTCGCCGATCTTGAGATGGACCTGGAAGATCCCCTTCTGAAGGTCTTGCCACCACTCCCGTGGCGAAGTTGCCAGTCCGAAGATGTTCTCAGGCGGCCATGAGCCGGACCTTGCCGAGCTGGGATACTGCCTGGTGGATGATGTCGGTGACGATGTGGCGTCGGTGAAGCAGCACTGCTTCATGTCCGATGCCATCTTCAAGACGCGCAGCTGTGACGCCGGGCAAGGAATCTGAAGAATGGTTCGCAGCTGGTGGCCAGCGATGGCAAGACCCTTCGAAGTGGCTGTGTCTCCTTGGCGTTTCTCCGAGGCGGGGCTGCGAGGACCGGCAGCAGAGTGGGAGCGCGAGGTGACTTGCAAGGTCCTGCACCCTGGCTGTGGAGTTCGATTTGCGTGGGTGTCCCAGCTTGGTCCGTTGACTGGGAGAGACGGTGCGTTTGCTGGGCGGATTTGACAGTAACAGAAATTGGCATCTAGCAGGTCTACCGTTGCGACACTGCCTGCAGCACAGCTTGGAGCTGGATAACTACTTGTACGGCATGCCGGGAGCGATTGGCTGCACAGGCGTCGGCCACTCCAGGACGGGGCAACCGGCCACATGTCATGACACGTGGCCGCTGCCACGCGGCCACATAGCGCCACGTGGCCGGATAGGTCGGCGAAGCTCAAAACAGGTCGGGCCGCAAGGGCACCGAACGCAATCTCGCAGAAATAGAAAAAAAGAAAAGCACGCGCTTGGAGCATTAATCTTGTGAAAGTCACGCGAATTCCAACAAAAAACTCATGGGGCACAGCAGTGCATACATTATACTTCAATATATGTCGGGTTTCAGCAACCGGAATCAAACAAATGTACAAGTTTTGATTCAAATAATCTCTCACCCCAAAATCGCAAATCGATTCGGTGAAGATCATAGCTGCACGTGTGTGTATATGTTAGACACATATGCATATATATATATATATATATATATATATATATATGTATATATATATATATATATATGTATATATATATGTATATATATATATATGTATTAACATATTAACCTATGCATATATACGCATATACTTACACATATACACACACACGTGTATATATATGCATGCTAATATGTGCTTTCTTTCTCTTGGGGTTTGACATATAGGGATTGCAACGATCAGCTGCTGCAAACTGGTGCGGCCATCCTCGGAATCTTTTCTCGGCCGCTCGTCCGCATGTTCAGTCGTCCAGCAACCCGGCCCATTTCAAACACACGTGCAGGGCATAATGCTCAACCGAACGCTGGCCGCAGACCAGCGGATGCAGTCTCAGGGCCATCCGTTTCATGAGCCTCACCATGTCCTCTCCCAAATAGCATGAAACATAGCGGTAATTCCGGCCTTGCCGGCAGTGGTCTAGGATGAGATGTTCAAGATGATGGATTTTGGGGCGTAGGTGGTATCTCAGCTGTTTGCTTTCCTCGGCCTTCACTGCCAGATGATTGAGGGCCGACCTGAATAAGATATAAAAATGTTCGCAGCTCTCCTTGGCATCCCCGCCCAGCAACTTCCCATTGCTCATCATGATGTGTTGAAGCTGCTGCAAGCCCCCGCACAACCCAGCTCGGAGCCTCACTCGAATAGAGGAGCTTCATGCTCCAAGTTGATTTGGTTGATTCAAACCAGTATATATAGTCTCGTATTGTTAACCTCAAAAAACCCCTGATCCATCCGAGCTACAAGTCATCCTCGGAGCCGTGGTCTTCTGCAAACTGCCGTGCCAGCTTCTCCAGGAAAATAAGGAAGCCACGGGCTGCTGCGGCAGATATATAGTGCTGCGAAACTGATGTGTAGGAGGTTCCCCCAGGCTTCAGGATTTCTGAGCTGAAAAACTTTGCATTCACTCTATCTGAATCGTTCCCGACCCAATCCCTGTAAGCTTTGCCAATCCACTCAAGCCTGGCAGGACGGCTCGGGAGGTCGATCAAGCGGTTTGTGTCCGTCCAGTCAAGTAACAAGGCAATGGCCAAGTCGGGGATGGTGGCCAGGTCAATGATATGCATGGGGTCCGGAAAAATGCCTCAATCTGGTTGCAAAATTATGAAGTATCATACGCAGGTCAACATGTAAAGCTGCTTGATTGCTGCAAGACACGGTGGTTGCTGAAGAATGGAATTGTGGTAAGCGGGGTCGCGCCATGCGCTTCCAAGAACTCGTCGAGGCTTGTTAGCCTGATTCGTTTGTGCGTATACATTCCGTACAAAACTTTAAACCGTCACTTTGGTACTACTTGCAGCTATGTGTCGTAGCTCTGTGCTTCGCATGCCGACCAAAAACACTGAACAGCATCTCAGGATCTTTGGCTTCCTCGTCGGCATCTTCAGCCGTGCTGGGGTAGGCTATGGCCTCGAGGACCGATAACACATGTGAATTGGGATTTCAGATCATGCCAGTTTCTGAATAAAAAACTAGACATAGACATAGAAATACTGTATTGCCACCCCAGAACCCTGCAATAGTAGCATACTTGTCTGGAGGATGCAGTGCCTTAGCTCAAAAAGTTGGCACTCAAACAAGGCATGCAAACCTTTAATGATTTACCATCGACTCGATGCTCCCGGATCCTAAGCATCCGGCGTGTCAGCAGGAAAATCAACCTCATGAAGTCTTGATCCCCCTCGAAACCATCCAGGATCGCAGTGTATGGCCCAGCGATGCGCTGGCCTGCCTTTGAGGCTCGCTTGGAACCTAAAGCTTGGCCTTTGTGGTCGGTGGCTGGATAAATTCCGGAACCTCAGATCTTGAGAATCTAAATACTAGAACAACAATAATTATGTTTATAATCTAAATGAAATTGCATGACAATCTCCGAATTCTATTCTGTGAAACATAGATGGCCGAAGCTCCAAGCAATCACCTCCATGATTTCCCGACGGCATGCATCATCGCACATCGTAGAATTGGCACAGCTCACCAGTAACCGGCTGAACAATGTAGAAGCAGGGGCCAACGGTGGCGAAAGTGCAAAGATCTCAAAAGATGAATGGCCTCAGATCATTTACGGCCCGATGCTGATCAGTTATTGGTGGCTATTGAGCATGGATAATACCCGCCCTTAACCCCCTCGATCCGAAGAGCCCAAGAACAAATAGAAGCACGTCACGGACTCAAGCAAGGATCGGTGTGCTGTAGCACCATCCCCATAGATTCTCAGAGGAATACACAGCTTTGGATCCAACCCCTTTCGTTCGATCTCGGCCACGAAAGCAGGATCTATGATGCGCTCGCGTCGCCAGTGCTCTGCAAGTGCCTCGTCGGCAGGGCTTCCGCAAGATTATCAGCACAAAGCTTTTGTTAATTCCACATAAATGGGGTTTGAGGAACTTCGGACGTACATACGATTTCAAATGCACGGTTTCAGAATGATCCGATTCTAAGCAAAATATTATTGCTCTATGTTGAGGGTCCGGGTACCTCGTCCCCACCGGTGAGGAGACGCTCGAAGTAGCCAGATCCGAAATCGTAGATCGCCCCGACAATTTCGTGGGGCAGCAGAGCAGAATGTTTCAAAGTTGCACGTTCCTTGCCCATCCGGTCCATGTGATCCTTAGGTTCAGTAGGTTCATGGGCCAGCAGCACGGAATGGACACAACAATGACACATAGACCAGGCAATATATTCAAGCAAGTGAGATTCTGACACATGGAAGTTCGAACACATAGGGCAACGGCAAAGATTGGCGCCATTTCTGTTTCACGGACCATCTCGTCAGCACACGATCAAAGCCCCACGATGTCTGGTTCCCACGGAAGCTGACGGCTAGGTCGAGGATTTCATCCCTGGCATTCTAGTGCAAAGCCCCTCTGAAAGAATGAGCACCTGGGTTGAAAATGAGGTCGCAGCGGGACGAGCTGCGCCGGGAGTTGCTCGAGCCGACCTTGTACCCGGCCGAATCTGATGAACATCAATCTGTTGCTGTACAATCCAAGATTTCTTGGGGCTCTGGCATACTATGTCTTTGAACTTTTTGATGTCAACCTGTGCCAATTCTATACATCTAGCGATAGACGTCGAACGACGATTCCAGCCTGGCCCTCACCGATCATCTTGAAGAGCTCTCGCATCACACCGCTCACGGCCGCCGTTGGATCGATCTGGCAGCATATGATGTAATTGGGATCATGATATCGGTACGATGCGTGCTCAGGTGATTCCAAGATCGATGCAGCACTTTGGATTTTCGCACCCCGGCAGCACTGATCGATGCGGTACATCTGGCTTCTCGCACCCGGCAGCTGGTCGCAAGCATACAGCTCATTTGCAGATCACTTCATATGGTCAAACATGCGGAATTCATTCCAACTCGGATAACGAATAACTAGTGTACCTATACCAACGGCCTACAGAGTTCGTCTGCAAATGGGCTGTAGCACAACACACTGACCCCATGGACCTTTCGACTCTAGACCCTCGCCGCACAGTCGTGGATCATCACGTCACACCGAACATGTACCAAATATATGCCCGACACAACGATGATAAGTTTTAGGTAGTCACCCTATATACAGCAAGGGTCGAGCTATGTCGAGCTCGTCCTCTAAGGAGATCGATTGCCGGGCAATCACAAGTGGTTGGAGGCACGGTAGTTGTTGTGCCGATACACGAATCCAAGATAGCAAAAGTTCGGGCCGGCGTGAGCTGCACGTAGTATTGTCGCTAGATCTATCGGATATAGAAGATCTCGGAGCTTAAGATATCCCACTAGCTAAGTACAAGGCTCGATCACGCCTCAGGCCCCTTTGTGGTGCGACGTCGTTTCGGCTGTGCTTCCTCGAGGTCTTGCCAAGCCTGTCTCTTTTGGGCTTCTTCCTCCTCCTTCTTCTCCTTTTCTTGCTGCTTTCTGATGGCCTTCTCAACGTCTCGCTTTGCTTTTTCTTCTTCTGGCATGCAAGGGTCAATTTTGCTACGTATACTTACTTTTATTGCACTGCACCGATGTCCCAGGAACCCGGCTGCGGCGAACAGTCTCCATGATGGTCTGGGCGTGGTCCACATCGCGCTGGCAGGCCTGGCTCTTAAGATTGGTTTTGAGCAAGGAAGCCCTCGAAAGTAAGCAACTGCGAATTTTCAGTTCCAAGGGAACAAGCTCAATCGAAAGCTACTTGTTGGGGATCGGACCTCAAAATCACCCTTGTTCTTGGTGATGTACTCGCCCACCTCCTCGGCCGACCTCGTACATACATGATCTAGTTCAGCTCATAGATGAAACTCATTGGAACGTGTTCTGATTTCCTGATTACTTTTGACAAGTCGCTTCCCACTAAAGATCAAATTCTCCACGTATTCCTGATGCTGCTTTATCTTCACCATTCCTTCTTTCAGCTGAGCCAACAGCTCGGCATTGTGAGGCAGCGTGCTCAACGACATAGAGGCGGCTCGGACGGAGCTCACCAGAGCTCCCATAGCATCAATATCCTTTTTCAATTCTTTTCTGGTTTGCTCTTCCTCCGAGACCTCTAGTTCAGTTTGCCGATGGAGAATGTAGAGGTTTAGGTTGCAGCTTCAGGATTGAGGTTTTAGTTTAGGGTTTGGGCTTTATAAGGCGTCCATAAATGAGATTCTCGATCTGGCCGTGGGCCCTTCTCGCCACCTTTTCTCTTGTTCTTGCCTTTTCCCTTCGCACCGGTCGCCGAGGTCGCATCACCGAAGCTGGCACCGGCAGCCACCAAGGTCTCCGAGAGGAGCTGCCTGGCTGCAAGCCCTGCTTGGCCGCCACCAATGTCGGCCTTGCATTTGGTCTCGTTGGCAACCTCCTGGGAGGATTTCGTCTTCTCGACGCCCTTCTTGTAGTGCTTGTAGATCCGGGCCCGTGGGTTCAAAGGGTCCTGGCGAAGCTTCTAAAGGGCTAGCCTTTGGAAAGGCTTTCAAGTGTGTACTTCTACTGTTGGAACGTGGAGAACATTTCGAGGGGTCCAAGGAACATAAACTTGGGCTTATATAGTGTTAGAGGTCAAATAAGACTTCGAAGGGTTCCGGGTTGTACTAAGCTGGAACGGGAACTGAAATTACAACCATGAATCCCGGAGATCGAAATATTGCATAGCCTCGGTGGCCTCTGCCCATAAGGTTTAAGTTGTTCAACGACAAAGCCATGAAGAAAAATCGTAGCTACGTAGTTTGCATTGACAGCGACTTAAGAAGCACACTGATCAGGGCACAAGAAAATACCGCGTCCTGGGGGTGCTCTTTCCCCTCCTGACCTCGAGCATATTGCGAGTGTAGCTGGGTTGATGGATTAGATCTGTAGCTGAGGATACGACAGTCAACGATTTTTTCCTTGAGCCACTTGCGCTGCTCTTCCGTGCAATAGATCTTCTCGAGCTCGAAGAGAGGCAACTCTTCGTACACCCCCTCCTTGTCCTGGCGAATCGGTTCTAAGATGGCCTAGGAAGAAACTCGGTCCATGAATGCAGTCCTTGCTGTGTCTCTCGAGGAATCGTGCGTCCACGGTCATTGACTGGAACGAAGGGTCCAAGATGAAATGCTTCCTTGATTAGCACGGATAGCTTGTGTGATTAAGCGGGCGAGTGCAGCTATACAATACAAGAAATGCATTCGTCCGAGGCCACGACATCAGTTCGAATTTCTTGGCAGAGCTGCCGTATGCATCGTTGTACATGGCTAGGATTCCTGGTGGTAGGCTTTCGGGGTCGCTCTTGACTCTTCGGTCAAGAGCCACAAGCTGTCTCTTCCGCTCTTCGTAGGGCATGTCGGAAGGTTTCTCGTAGGCTGCGATGCGGCTTTTCTCTTCGTCGGTAAGGGCTCGGACTCGAGCCTGCCTTCGCAGGCCCTCGAAGCCAGAATCCTGGGACTCGCCGGAATTTTCCGACCTGAGCTGTAGACACATCAGATTTGTAGGAAGGGTTTATCGGGGAGTTTTCCTATAGGTTACATATAATTAAGGTTCTACAAGCTGGACCTCCAAAGTTCTGGTGAAAGCTAAGCACACTCCCTGTAGTGGGTGACATGAACTGCAGGCTGTACTTTCCTACTTCGCAAGAATCACTGGCACGAACATTAGTGAGCAGCACAGCGAATCATCCGAGGATTTGGCTGCAGTGACATCGAAGTCAACTGCCTCGTGGGAGTTGACTTTGGCGTCGGACTTGCCGTGGTCGATGGCTCTGGCGTCCTGGCGTGAATGCAAGGATTTTGAAGGTTGGAATCCGTGTGGGTTGTGTGTGTGTGTCCTGGTCACAGCTGAGCATGGAGAGGTGGACCGTGTAGGCGAGGACAGTGAGGGTCCTGACAGAAATCAAGGGAATTCCCCTATAGGCTCCCGGGAACGGTGCGTGCGAGCCTGACTCTAGAAGTATCGCCCCTGCATCACGTTTTTTGTCGCCTGGCTTGCAATACACAGCTGAAACCCATGGTGACTCATATTGCCGACCGTGCAAACTTGTAGTAGTCGTAGCAGTAGCAGTCGTAGTAGTAAGTAATAGTAGTAGTAGTAGTAGTAGTAGTAGTAGTAGTAGTAGTAGTAGTAGTAGTAGTAGTAGCAGCAGCAGCAGTAGTGTAGCATAGTCAGTATATAGTGTATATAATAAGAATATAAGTACAAGGTGTAGCAGCAGCATAGTAGCAGTAGTATTCAATATATTGTAGTATCAGTAGTAGTAGTAGTAGTAGTAGTAGTAGTAGTAGTAGTAGTAGTAGTAGTAGTAGTAGTAGTAGTAGTAGGAGCCGGTTGAAAGGACACTCAGCAACTTCAGGTGTGTGTTCGATTAAAGGTGATCAGAATTAATGCTGTTTTGTGTCCTTCCTTCCAGGCTTGTAGTAATAGTAGTAGTAGTAGTAGTAGTAGTAGTAGTAGTAGTAGTAGTAGTAGTAGTAGTAGTAGTAGTAGGAGTAGTAGTATCAGTAGTAGTAGTAGTAATAAAAATTATAATAGTAGTAGTAGCAGCAGCAGCTGCTAGCAGCAGTAGAGTGTAGTATAGTTAGTATATAGTAAATTAAGCATAAGTACAAGGTGTAGCAGCAGCATAGCAGTAGTATATAATAGTAGTAGTACTAGTACTAGCACTAGAGCAGTAGCGTGGCAGTGGCAGTATAGTCTAGAGTTTAGTGGATTGCATTTGTTGTATGAATGTATTCTTGCTCACTTATACTTACTATATAAGTTTGATTAGTCGTATACATCTATGAAAGTAATTAGCAAGTACACTCACTCGCGGGTTGCCAATCTTTTTGCAAACTCAGCCTGACAGCTGACTGCGGTAACGCTTCGGGATCGGCTCAGCTTCGGATCCATCAGAGTGCCACTCATTCCATTTTCCCCAGCCCTTGTCGGTCGACTGCTGGCCCTTTCCGACGCCCTTGTCGTGGTTCTCCGGCTGGTAGCGATCTTTTCCCTTGCCCTTAAGGTCGGTCTTGCCCTTCTCGCCCTTCTCGAGCTGGGAGCCCTTTGCCTGGTAGTGCTTTCCCTTGCCCTTGTCGCTAGTCTCCGGCTCGTAGCACTTGCCCTTGCCCTTGGTGTTGTCCATCTCGCGCTGGTAGTGCTTGGTCTTGCCCTTCTCGCCCTTCTCCTTGCCCTTGTTCTCCTGCATCTCCGGGCGGTAGCCCTTGTTGCCCTTGTCGTTGGTCTCCGGCTCGTAGCGGTTGCCCTTGCCCTTAGTGTTGTCCATCTCGCGCTGGTAGTGCTTGGTCTTGCCCTTCTCGCCCTTGTCGATGTCCTTGCCCTTATTCTCCTGCGTCTCCGGGCGGTAGCCCTTATTGCCCTTGTCGCTGGTCTCCGGCTCGTAGCACTTGCCCTTGCCCTTAGCGTTGTCCATCTCGCGGTTGTAGTGCTTGGTCTTGCCCTTCTCGCCCTTCTCGATATCCTTGCCCTTGTTCTGGAAGCCCTTTGCCTTGCCCTTCTCGCTGTGGGTGTCCGGCTCGTAGCCCTTGCAACCCTTTCCCTTCTCCGGCTCGTGTGGCTGGCCTTTGCTCTTGCTCTTGCCCTTCTCGCCTTTCTGCACCTGGTAGCCCTTGTGCTGGTCGCCCGCTGTTTCCGACTGGGAGTGCTTTCCCTTGCCCTTGTCGTTTTGGGGCTGCCAGTGGTAGCCCTCGTGCTTGCCGTGCTTGCCCTTGTCGCCCTTCGAAGTCTCCGGCTGGTGGTAGTGCTGTCCCTCGCTAGGCCTCCAAGGGCCCCAGCCTTCGCTGGAATCCGAGGAGGAATTTACCTCGATGACGGCCTGATCAGACCACTCAGACCACTCATACCACTCAGCCATGGTCGCTCAGCTATCACTGCGCACCCTTGAGCTGCGAAACACGTGCATGCCGAAGCTTGCGCAATCATCTCATAATGCCCTTGCATGCTGCGGACTTGCAACTGCGACTCTTTCCCCGATCTGCAAGATCCCTTCGAAGGATCCGTCACCCGAAACATATCGATCGCATCGGCTATGAAGCTGGATCCGAAACCGTAGCGCAGTAGTAAAGTAGCATTGCAGCAGCAGCAGCAGCAGTAAGTCGTATAGAGTAGTAGCATAGTAGTAGTAGAAGTAGTAGTAGTGGTAATTCTAGTAATAGTAGCAGCAGCAGCAGCGAGAATGATATACGGTTTCTTAAGATCTGCTACAGTAACCATATTATTGCTGCTACGAAACCTATCGGGATAATTCGTTTAATTTGCACTATATAATTCCAGACTAGACTCTGTCCTATAGATCTGCACCCGACAGGCCACACCGACACGACACGCCCAGAAATTGGCCCCAAACTATGATTTATTCCTATTATTTATTAATATTTCCCAACTGAGTTTGCGCCACGCCACACCACGCCACACCACGCCACTGTGTTAGTTTGTGGCCGGTTAGACCCGCCACGCCACGCAACGCCACGGTCTAGAATTTATTAATATTAATTGAAAAGTATAGATACCTATTACCTACGTTCACAAACCCCTGCACCACGCCACGATCCAGCTGGGTCGACGATCGATCTCACATCAGATCATCCAAACCGGAATCAGAGCTATCGTAACCCTGATCATAAAACTGCATGCCCCCATCGGGCTCTACAGCTCGAGGCTCGGCAGGATCCATTGTCTCCCTCAGAAGTTGACCAACCTGGCATCAGAAATTAGGTTTATCTAGTCGCGCACAATAGCCCGCTTAAAACATACCGAGACCACCGCCAAGCCAAGGCCCGCCGGGTACTCCTGCGTCTCGGTCAAGCTCGGCCCTCCGACCTGAAAGACTGATCTTAGGTTTTTAATGATTGGGTGCTAATCTATGGACTTTAAGACCCTGGCACACCGCTCGATCCCCTTCTTGTCCACGAAACGACGAACAGTGGTGATCTTAAGCCATGATCGGATCCGCTTCAGCTGCGACCTTAAGGTACATACAAGGTGCTCGTGGCGTGGCGTGGCGTGGCGTGGCGAAGCGTGGCGTGGCGTGGCGTGGCGTGTTGATACTATGAACATATAAGTAGATCGCAATATAATCGCGCACGAGATTATACCGATCCTCAGCCCGGGGCTTTCTCAACTTGGTGTCTTTGTTCTTGTTCATGGCGGCCAGACGTGGCAGCATCGGGTGGGTTCCATACAACACCACATCTTTCTGGGTGTCGGCGCCAAAATTGCCGAGACTGATCGTAATGGTCTTGGCATGGTGCCTTCTCAGCAGGTCCTGGCAGGATCTGATGTATGAGCCCCCAGATCAGTGCGTGAGTAAGAATATGCAGTCCTTCAGTGGTGCATACCTCCATATGAGCGACAGCTTGGGGTTCTCAATGATATAGAAGATTTTCTTCTTGTGCAAGTACTCGAGTCTGCAGTGCTGTAACATTTTGAATGGATATATGGGTTGAGTACTGCACCACCCATTAATAACCAGATAATCATAATCGGCTAAACCTATAAGATTCCTAATTGTTATAGATTGGTAACTATTGATGGGAGGGTGCACTACTCAACTCATAGTTGTCTAAACACTGACTTCCGGTGCATTGCAGCTGGGAGCCCTACACATAGACCAATCGGCGGACAAGCCGGTTGGCCTGAAGCACTTTCTCGAAAGACTTCGTACCTGTCAAACATAACGGCCCCGCTCCACGAAGCAATCGCCGCTAACGGTGCACGACCAAGCCTTGAGGTCTCAAGCGGCGACGCTTCGTGCTGTGCCTGGACCTGGGCACATGTGCTACTGGGACACATTTTCAAGTAGAGCAAATCGAGATCTGGATGAAGGGACACTAGTTTAATTGTGGGAGTTCCACACGAAATGGTTTCGGATCTCGTAGGGAAGGCTTCCTTGAAATGAGCATCCTATTAGTTGTAGTTCTATATTATCAACTAAAGACCCATAATTCTGAAACTAGCACGTGTGCTCTGAGAAGCTGGCATCCAAATCCACGATTTACATGGAGGGCCAAACCAATGAAGCCCACCAATCCTGGTTTTCCTCGCCTCAGAAACAAGCATCAGTTCGTATATCCCTTCAGTGTGAGCTGCGTGTAAGGACAAGGCAGCATTCATGGCTAGGAGGAAGCCGAACGGCTTCAGGAAGTCCATTGCTTTGCCATACAGCACCTTCGGAGTATAGGAGCAGTGCAGCAGTAGCGATGCGGTACAGCTGGGCGTGCGGCGTCGGAAGCCCTCGCTCGGAAGCCGTAGGACGACACCATGTTGGTGAGCTTATGCTTGCCTTATCAGAATCTGGTGATGTAGGGATGTTTGAGAAAATCAATGGTCCAAACCACGGCCTGCAAAGTGCTCGTGAAAGTCGTGCAGCTCATCCTCCGTAGGGTCGCCAAAACCTCAGCATCACGGATCTTCGTAGGACACCTACAACCCAGTAGCGATTCGATTTTCTATTCAGGGGTGCGTTTGTGTAGGAAACAATTGTAGCAAAAGAAAGAGATAGCCAAGGACCGAATCCATGAGAAGAGATCACAAAAGAGAAAGGCAAAGCGAAAGCGAAACCACAGATTCCTGAAACCACGTTACGTGTGAGCCCGACACTTTCTCTGTACCTGTGCCGTGCTTGAATCTTATTACGACGAGACTCGTTCGTGCTCATTGGAATACAAGTAGATTTTAAACCAATAGTTTATAAAAGAGAGACAGACACAGAAAGACAGATCGAGAGAGAGAGAGAGAGAGATAGAGATATCAGATCTGGAGTTTGATCGTCGCTGTTGAAGCACAAGCGCTTGATAACCCGAGCCGAGGAACTACACAGCAGCGATGCCACGACGAAGGCTAGCCGAGAGAACTGCATAGTCCTGGCGTATCCATATGTCAATTCTTCTGTAAGAGTCACAGTATATTGAGATGTTCATATGGTACAGTCCTGTCACACACGGCCGGCCAGCAGGCGCTAGGACCGCTAGGTCTAGCAAAAGCAAATGCTGCAACCATGGAGTGAAACTTTCAGAATCTGCATGTTGCAACATGTATGCACGTGCACTAGCAGCAAAAGGCACAGGCTTTCGTAGCTTCGATCGCAAAGCCTTTCTGGTGATCGGCCAGTGCTGCCCCCTTGAGGCTCTGGACACTCGACTGTGGAAGCTGAAGCAACTTGTTTGGAATTCCGGATATAGGAGAGTAGTTCACAGATAAGTAAGGTTGAGACGGGTTTAGACCCGGTGCCAGAGAGTCCAGCTGGCGAGCATGAACCCCAAATCCCCTTCAGCAGAGCCGATCTGTGCAAAAGAGGCACTGACAAGAGCAGTGCATAAAGGGACCGAATATGCATATACCACGGGACCCCGGGACCCCCATAAACCCCAAACTTTAGATTCTATATTCTATATCCTATGAATAACCCTGCCCTAATCAGTACCTCCTGCGTTTGATCTCGGTCTCTGAAAGGTTTGACAAAACCTTGGCCCTTGCGTCACTAGCCTTCCACTTCTTCTCGATTTCGGCTTGTCGCAGGCTTTCGATTTGCCTGGGATGTAGGATCGAGACTGAGGTTTGTAGGATTTAAGGGTCGGGTTGGGATTCGGGGATTGGAGTCGCATAGGCACCGAATCATCAATATTGCAATCAAGCTACTTGTCCATGAAACTTCGCTTACGTCTCATGTACTCAGTCTTGGGTTCCTTCCTCGTATCCGTTTTGGATTTGGGAGCTTTCGTTTTCTCGGATCCTTCGGGCTTCGACGCCTTCTTAGCAGCTGCTTTGCCTTTCTTCTCGGCCTCCTTTGCTTTCTTCTCCTCGCGCTTCTCTGCAGCCAGCAGTTTCTGCGCATGTGCATGCGCAGTTTTGGTAGCATGTCCCAGGCAAGCCGTGGCGACCTTCATGGAGATGGTGTCATTCGCGACGTCCTGATCAGGCTCATTTACGGAAGCTACGAAGGGATCATACTGCAAATTTAGTTGTGCAATTGGAGGCACCTTCGGAGTGGTATCATGGGGTGGCTTCTTTTGGACCTGTGCAACACACAGTGTTTTGCGACCTAACGATCAATACTTGAGTAAGGCCTCTGTAGCGGGGGCCGACTCCTCTCCGACCTGTGCAACACACCATTATTTTCAAAACTGAAGAAATATGACTTGATGAAAGCCTCTGCGGGGGCCGACTCGTCGTCCTGTTCAGCACTGAATAAATTTCTGAGGTACGGTCAGGACTTGATGAAGGCCTCTGCGGGGGCCGACTTCTCTTCAACCTGTGATCATATTCAAGAAACTCAAAGCTTTTCTTAGGTACGGCCAAAGCTTGATGCAGGCCTCTGCGGGGGCCGACTTCTGTTCGACCTGTGATCATTCATGTTCAAGAAACTCAAAACTTTTCTTAGGTACGGTCATGCAAAGCTTGATGCAGGCCTCTGCGGGGGCTGACTCCTGTCCAGCCTGTGCAACACACAAGAAACTCAAATGGTTTCTAAAGTACAGTCAAAGCTTGAAGGATGCCTCGATGGCCCACGGATCCTGTGCATCCTGTGCAACACACAACTTTTTTCTGAATTGACACTAATACTTGGTGTAGGCCCCGACGTCCCAGGTCGGCCAAGCTTCCTGCCGAGAAGATTAACTGGACATGATCAAATCACTAGCAGTGAATAAAACCCAGCCTTGTTCCAAGATCCGGCTACCGAATCCTGCAATCAAGATCAACAGCAATATACAAGTAGAATTTAATTGTGAAGTCATGCAGCGATCCTCGGGGTTGTGAGGCGCAGGCTCGCATTCACGATCAAACGACGGAGCCTGTGCATACACAGAAGTCTATTTCAAGCACTGGGGCACAGGTCGCATCGAAACTGTCCTGGTT